TCTTGTGTTCTGGTGTGAGAGTATATAGGGAGGGGAAGACCCACTGCTGCTCCAGTTCCTTCTCAACCAACTGTAGCATGAGACTGAGTGTCACAGTGTCCCCTAGCTAGCTATGCAGCCTGCTGACTCTTCTTTCTGACTTGTTCCTATTTCTTTAATTCAGTTATTTCATTTTTATCATTCTTTTTAATTTGACACAATTGTATACTTTGGGGGGGGTATCTTCCCCCCCCCCCCCAATCCTTTTCACCCTGTCAGGGCCTATGTTCCTCTCGGCCCTCTACATCTGCCTGTCCTTTCTTACTGGGTTATGCCCAAGACCCCAGGCTTCAAACCCTGCCATGTCTACCATGGGTCCTTTCCTCTCAACAATGGGCATTCCAGCTGCCTTGGAGAGCTCACATTCCCAAGGTTTGCTTCAGATGCAAAAGCAGATTCAGAAAGCAGAGGTAGGACGGATTGAAACTGCTTCTTATGGAACACTCTCTGAGAGCTGCAAGGTCCAAGTCCCTCCGCGCGCACACATCAGCCTCAACTGCCAACTCTGGTGAGCATACCAGCCCTGGCTCCGGTAATCAAAGACCCTGCAGCCCTTTAGGGTCTTCAAGATGATCTAAAATGAAGAGACCCCACTCTCCAGAAAGAGAAACCCTGAAAAGGATAAAGTCACCCTCTTGATCTGGGAACAAGGAGACCTCACATCCTGGAATGGGTACCACTGAGGCTTTTTCCTCCCCGGTACAGAGGTCCCAGTATCACCTAAAATAAATCTCCAGCAGACTGTGTACTGAGAAGCTTCCCAGCAAGCAACCTTGAGAGCAGCACCCAAAAAACAAAACAAAACCCAGCATATCACAGACAGTGGTCTTGCCCAATTTACTATCAAACCACAAGATCAACTGAACCATCAAGAAAGAAACCTAGATTTTTCTAAGAAAGGGCTGTCTTCCCTTGTGCCATCATAATCAGCAACTTCTTCTGAACGGCTTTTGTGATCAACTGGTCAAGGGTCACAAGTGATCCTAGGATCATGGTCTACACCAAGCCCGTCAACAGCCTGTTTGGGGATCATCTCTCCCATTTCCTGTCTGCCTGGGAGTTGATCACCGTGGATAGGTGGACCCTGGAGATGCTATTTCATCCAGTTCAGCGTCATCCCTCCCCATCTTAGGGATCCTTCTCACAAGGGTCTCCTAAGACAGGAGGTGCAATATTCCCTATTCCTAGGGGTAATCTAACCCATTCCACTGGACTTCCTTGAGAAAGTCTTGAGAAAAGGTTCTTCTCGAGGTGCTTCCTGGTTCCCAAGAAAAGAGGAGGAAGACCACCAATTCTGGACCTCCAGACTTTGTCCTCTCACAATGGTTCAGAATGGTAACCTTACCCGTGGTGATTTCCTCTTTAGAAGTGGGGAATTGGTTTGTCTTCCTTGACCTCTGGGACCATATGTCCATATAGCTATGCACTCTTCCCAGAAATATTTCCTACAATTTGTCATGGGCAAGGACAACTGCTAATACTAGATCCTGTCCTTTGACTTTTGACTGTGCAAAGGATCTTTACAAAGGTCCTCTCAGCTATCGCCAGCCCATCTTCATTAGATGGGAATAATAGTCTTTCCCTGTCTGGATGACTGACTTCTTAAAGGTTGCTCCTTTTTCAGGGTGCCGTCAGCAATCAACAAGGTCCTATCCCTCTTCCACTTCTTGGGCTTCCACCTCTACATGAAATAGTCTACATTTAGACCTGTACAACAAATAGACTTCATCGGTGTCACTTTGGTCTCCATGACAATCAAACCATACCTGCCCATGAATAGGTTTGCTACGATGGCCAGCCTCAGTACCATGCTACAACAGAGCTACAAACCACAGCAAGGAGTTCTCTTCAACTCCTGGGCCATGTGGCAGCCAGCAAATTCGTAACGTCCCTGGCAAGACTGCACTCCTGATGTATTCAAGCCTGGCTCTGGTCTGTCTATGCCCCTCAATAAGTACAAACTGTTCTAGTGGGTGTCAATACCTCAAAGGTTATTTCTTTCATTTGGGGTTCCACGGAGAGAGATCTTTTTATGACATTGTCCGATGCAGATGATTCTTCTTGGGGGGGCATAGTCTCAGCTTGTTGGGAGATGCCCTCCTTACCCTTGGCCTCTGCTCTTGGTCTTGCTCTTTGCTTATCCCCCAAAACTTTTGCTCCTCAAGGTCTTGAAATGAGAGATTGGTAGCCATCTTCATAGTACTGTCGTGGCTTCTTGCAGTCTGATTCCCTCACAGAAAGAATGAAAGGGTACCCAGTATCCACCCAGAGATTGTTGAAATGGGTGACATCTTGACCTGTTGTGAAGCCTTGGAGGTGCCTCTTTCACCAAGGGTGATTGCCCATTCCACTAAGGCTTGGTATACCTCTGTGGTCTTATTGAAGTACATATCCGTCTCAGACATTTGCAGTGGCACTTTTCCCAGCATTTTACTATTGTGCGTGCATCTAGAGTTGACATGGCCTTCGGTGATGCTATTCCACAGAGCATACTGAATCTACCTCCTCAGCACCCTCCTCCATAATTGGAGTACCGCTTGTGAATCTTCTGATGTGGAGCACTCAGAGGGAGAAGGAGAGGTTGCACAGTAATTGGCGTTCTTCTAGATGTCTTGTTCCTATGGGTTCTCCACTCCCCTGTGGGCCCTTCTTCCTTTCAGTTTTGGGGTTATACTCTCTGGACTTTGTGGTTGAGAAGGAACTGGAGAAACAGCAGCAAGCCTGCCCTATATACCTTTGTACCAGAGCACGAGGGTGTGTAGGACACAAGTGCAGACCTACAGACACTGCTTACAGAAATCTCCAATCAAGAGTGCATGGGCACATCCTGACTGCAGCACCCCTAAGGACAAAATGTCTCGAAGAACTCCATTTACTCTGTACAGGTAAGTAATCTCTCCTTTGGCTGTTACAGGGTCAAGTGAGGTTATTTGTAAGTAAATAAAAATTTGGTACAGTGATGTTTAGCCCAAAGGAAACCATCTGCTATAAGTTATCATACTTCTGTGTATCTGGAATGTAGCTAAGGTCTAGTTGCAGCACATGGTATATGACTGAAGATAAATTGGTGAGTAGTCAAAGACAGTTGACGTTGAATTCATTAAGCCATCTTCTAGTATATACCTGATAGTTCCATGGGCCACCTGACTAGTTTGCAGGGCTCCATTCTGTAGATTGGGGATGGGTCAAACCGTGAGTGCCTCTTCTTCTGGTCCAAGTGCTTGGGAGTTGGGATTAGTAGGAGAGAAGAAACTGTAAATTTATATAACATAGCTGTCTTTCAGCTGAGCTATAAGATGTTTGTGATCACTTGTCATTGGCCATTGAAGCCCACACGGCATTCTTTTCACAAATCCTGATGTTATGGTTGTGTTCCATCTCTAACTTCATTACATCAACCTATGTCCCCCAAATGCTGCATATGAAATTTTTATTCACTTTGACTGAGACTGTTGTGAGAAATTGCTGTGTGCTTCTAAATTGCTGTCACCTCTACCCCAGAGGCAACTGCATTTCAGGCATGGGTGTGTCATACCTGTGCAGTATAGGTAAAATTTACAAAGGAGCCTCTCACTTAGGCACTTTTGAAAATATTACTTGTGGGATAAAAAGCAATATAAGATATTGGGATGCCAAATACATTTTTAAGCTTTACACTTTGTGTTTAATCTCCATTGTATATACTGTCTTAGAAGCTTAAAATAGAATTTCTTTCCTTATAGATCTTGAGTATGTTCTCTTCCTCCGTTTTTTCCATTAATTTCCCTACTGTTTTTCTACTTGAACGTAAAATTGCTGTGGCTTTTTGTATATGTTCTTCTTTGTACAAGAGCTTCAATGTCAATACAGTTTTGGAAACTGGGTTTGAGTAGTGAATTCCAGCTGTAGAGGGGACACAAGCAGAAAGCATATTGTCTTGCTGTCTAACACTTATGATTACATTAAATACTTTAGAGGGAAAGGTGGATATTTTAAGAGGTTTTTTTTAGAATTTAGGTTCCCCAACAGAATTCTTCAGATAATGTTTGTAAATTTCTCTGAAGTTTGAAAGTTCTTAAAGTTTTATAATACCAATATAACCATTTCAAAGTGGGTGAAATTTGGAGCTTAAATTTTGTGCCAGTACAGTCTGAGTCTGCTGTCCTTGCACAGCCCAAATTCTCTTTGATTTAAAGCTAGCACTATTTGCAGCTCTGATTCATCTTTTTATATATGTAAATTTTATATTGTATATATAAAATGACGCAACAGTGAGTCTGTACTCCTAGATTAAAAAAACAACAAAAAGCATCACCTGTCCTTTGATAGAAAATGTCTTTACACACTCGGTATGTATAACATGTATGACTAAAGATATGATATGATAGTAATCACTAACAGGATATGAGTAATCACTAATCTTTCAGTTAATATATTCTGTCTGTGTGTGGGTGGGTGTTAATATGTACTGATTGATGGACTTTTTTTATACATTTTATATCTCTGATTCTACCAGAGGTTCTCCATGTCTTCACTGTTTGTCTTTTGGATATAAAGTCTGAATGCTCTTGATTAACTATATCTTCTACAGAACCAAACACAGAGTAATATATTAAATGGGTTAAATTTAATGTGTTATATATCTGTTATATATATATATAAACAGGATACGAGTAATCACTAATCTTTCAGTTGATACACCCAAAGGGATCAGGAATATGTATATGTATATATTCTGTGGATGTTAATATGTACTGATAGACGGACTTTTTTTATAGATCTTATCTCTCTGGTTCTACCAGTGGTTCTCAGTCTTCATTGTTGGTCTTTTAGATATAAAGTCTGAATGCTCTTGATTAATTGTATCTTGTACAGAACCAAACACGAAGTAATGTATTAAATGGGTCAAATTTGATATGATATATAGTGATATATATGTATAACATCTTTCACGGAAATACTTTTCCGCCTTTTCTCTTCAGATGTGTGGTCAGCAGGATGTGTATTGGCAGAACTGTTACTTGGACAACCAATCTTTCCAGGCGACAGTGGTGTGGATCAGTTGGTGGAAATAATCAAGGTATGGAATTCAAGTTACTCTTGGGTCACCTCCTCGCTCCTTGAACATAGATATATTGCACACAAAAACTAGGTTAAAAGAACATTATTAAGATTGCAAAGTAAATCACTTGAAAGTTAGAATTAAGGTTCTAGTTCCTCATGAGATCCTCATGTGATCTCTCTCTTTTCCCCTCCCCTCCACTGTCTTCCAGGCTCCTCCTCCAGTCTCTCTCCCCTCTTACCTCATCCTTGGCTCCTTATCCCAGTCTGTTCACTCCGCCTGGCCCAGCCCAGAGCAGCTGAGAGCAGCAATTACAGGGGAAGTGCTTCTGTCCCCCACCCCCAATTAGCCCTGCACTGGAACATGCTTAGTCACTCTTGTGGGGATGTCAGTTGCACAGTCTGGCCATAGGTAGGAGCTGGTAAGTGATGGAGCCTGGTCATTCAGCTGGTAGGGGTGGTGCACTGGCAATCTCGTCAGCACTTGGAGCTGTGAGGGGCTCTAGTGTGCTCAGAGAGAATGAAGTCTTCAGAGATTTTAGCTGCTAAAATCAAAGTCTGTTCTGAGCATGTGCAAACTGCAGTTTTTCATTGGCTTGTAGCTTGGTGAGATTTAGGTGGATTTTCATGATAGCAAAAATAATTCAAAGCATGGGGGGGTCTTTGGGCATTTCAAGGAAAAGATCTCCATTTTTTAACACGAGCAAAACCTATTTTTCCCTAGCCTTGTTCATGGAAATGGTTGAACCCTTTTGGCTGAAATTTTCCAAAAAAGATTGGCCTATAGCTGACTCCTGGCATGGAAAATTTCAGCCCAGACCGTTACTTTTGTCAGGTTATAAGCAACTTAAAACAGGATCTTTAGTGGGAAGCTTCGGGCAATCTTAGTAGGAGATGCTACCAGCCCAGCCTATAACACAATTAGAAAAAAGTAAAAATCTAGATAGAACAGTTTTGCCTGCTGTCTTGTAGCACCTTAGTCTGTGATCATGTCATAACTCACAAGTTAAACGGGTTTAAGCTGGGTCAGTACTTGCAAAGAAACCTCAAAGGAAAACTTGGGAGACTCTGAGAAGTGTTGGTGATTCCTTGAGTGGTAGGTTCCTTTTTAATTGTACTGAAACAGTGTCCTAGTGTGGTGTAGTGCTTCTCACAATGCCATTCTTTTGGATGAGATGTAAAATTTACAGTTGCAAACATTTGTGATCATTAAAGGTACAAAGCAGTGCTTGCAAAAAGTTGTGGTATTTGCTCTGGAATCCCTAGGTCCCTAAATTTGGCTGGGTCCCTAAATTTCCCCATGTAGTTTCATAAATATGGTGGTATTTACACTTTGCCCTAAACTGTTATGAACAGCTAGTATGGTCTGCTCCCTAATCCACTTTATTCATCAATGAAATGATTAAGTGATTATTGTCTGTATATCAATATAGAGTTTATTCAGGAGTAAAGGTATTATGTAAATATAAGATCATTTAATTGTACATCAGGGTGACATAGTCCAAAAAGTCACATCTCACTCCCTTAGAAATCTGGTTATTTCAATAAAATAGATCTATCTGGAGTTAATGAGTGTGCTTTGCCTTGCCTTTGACTTGGTTCTGAGCAAGTGGAAGTATAGTATTTAGAAGAAAGATGTACTCTGGTTGACAGGCTGTCTGCCAACCGGAGTTCATGGATTGGCATAGTGCTTGTGTAGTTATTTTTCATTAATTGTACAGTATCAGCCAGTCAGTACAGGAAGTGTTCGTCCATGACTCATAACTGTACAGAATCCATGTAGAGACACGGTGGGTGAGGAAATAGCTTTTATTGGACCAGCTTCTGTTGGCAAAGAGACAAGCTTTCGAGCTACATGGAGCTCTTCTTCAGGATCCATATATTCAATTTGGCTGAGATGATTCTGTTTTAGCATAATTTAGTATAAACACAAAGGAAGAAGAGAAACAATTTAATAAAATTGTCACTGCATGTAGACCTTTTACAGATTTTAAACACCACTTTCATAAATTTTATCCTCATTTTTAATTGACAGATCCATAGCTGAATATAAAGAGTACTGGTGTTAACTGTTTTTTTCTATCATAGTTGGAAGAATGTGCACTCTGGAAGCTTGGACTTTCAGTGAACTGTATTTGAGGTGGTTTTCCACTTGGCAGAAGTAGGTTCCTGGAGCATTGCTCTAACTGTGGACATGGAACTCCTGAATGATTATTATTATTAGGTGAAAATCAAAAAATGGTACATGGCCCCCTAGATATGCATATTAACAATTATACATGCAGGTTAAATGCAAGAGATACTCCACTGTGTAGTAAATCCTGAGATATTCACTTGAGAAGACACAGTGGTAAGAGAGTATCCAGAGAGCAATGACTATGATGAAGTGCTAGATGGCATGTTCTCTGACCAGCTAAGGGAACAAGCTCTGTGAAGCTTAGAAGAGGAGAGAATGGTCTGGGATAGTAGCAAAAGGGAGTGGAATTTCACAGGGATGTCTAAAGGAAATGTGACAGGGGTTGTGAAGTTTAGTGGGCAGGTGCTATGGAACATTATTCTGGTCACGTGCTGCTTGTTACCAAGAAAATGTAGATGCTGATTTTAGAAGCTCTCCTGGGGAAAATTAAATACAAATTACAATAATGGAATGTCCTGCAGTAAGAACATACAAAACTCTGCAACACAAAATTTGGTAGATTGACAATTCATAAGTACACTGTTGAAGTTGACAAGGGGATGGGGTCAGAGGATAGAGATTTTAGCTTAAGTAGAGTGCATTTGAGGCCTTTGGCATCTGAGAGGATTTGGAAAGTGGTTTGGGATTTTGGTACCCAAGAAGTAGTTAAGGCTTTTGGCATAGGCCTTGGAGAAGGGAAGGGTATTGAATGCCCAGTGGAAAAACTTCAGCTACAGTAAGCAAAGGGCTTATATCAGAAAGTTGTTGAAGATGATTCGATAGGGAATGAGAGTTGGAACCAAATAGGCATATATCCATTCTCCTAAACTTCCACTAGAATTTTCTGAGCAGCTTCTTTCAAAGGCTGTCTCTTCTTAAAGCAACAGACATTTTAAGTTGTACAGGAAATTCTGTATTACTTTACCTTGAAGTTTGATTGTGGGTGAGTTGGTGCATAGAAATCAAGATATCCTAAGTTCTATACACTATCTCTTTACCAAAAATGATGCAATTACCAGCCTCAGTAGGATGCTATCCTATTTCCAGAGTAGGTAGCCTGAGTACCTGCCAAGGAAAAAACCTCTCAATTCTAGGAGATATGTCTGTCATCGTCGTACTCAGTCATTCACCCTGCACCATCACAGAGGCAACAGGTTTAATGGATATATTGGGAGCCTCCTTCCCCTTTCCCCTGGGCTTGGTTTGCTATCAGAGAAGTGGATGTTTGGACATCTTTCACTCATGGCTACCCTTTTCATGTCTACTCTTTATACTTCTGCACAAACCTCTTCCCTATCCCCTTCAGGGGTCCTTCTGATGAGAGCCTATCACAAAGAGAAGTGGCCTCATTGCTCTCTCTAGAAGCCATAGGAGAGCTCAGAAGTACAAGGGTCTTAAGGGGCTTTTATTCCTGATATTTCCTCATTCCAAAAAAGAAGGGGGGGTGGGTCTTTGTCCTGTCCCTGGCCTGAGGAGACTGAACAAGTGCGGGTGCAGCCTTGAATTCAGAATGGTAATGCTTGCCTCCATTATTCTCTGCAGGTTCAAGACTGGTTCATGGCTCTTGTCTTACAGGATCCATACTTCCACATAGCCATCCTCCCAACCCACTGGAAGTACTTCAGGCTCTCAGTAGAGCCAAATCACTATCATTATCAGAGGTGCCATTCAAACTCTCAACGGCACCAGAAGTAGAGATGAGCAAATAATTGATTATTTTGATTCTGTTGCCAAACCAAAAAATCCAAAGAAAATTTTTTCATTTAGAACCAAAACTGGAGGTCTGTTTTTTGCCAAAGCAAAACATTTTTTAAAACTGTGTTAATGTGGAAATGAAATGTTTTGAACATCAAATAGAAATATATTCTAAATGAAATGTTGAATCAAATAACTTATAATTTCAGAACGGTTTGTTTTGATTTTTTTTTTTTAAATGAACTGTTCCCAAAATCAGTTTTGTGGGGGTTTTTTGGTTTTGATTGGGCAGGAAGGGTGTTTTTTGTGGTTTGTTTTTTTTGCCAAAACTATTCACTGGAAGAAAAAAAAATCACTTCACCCTAATCAAGAGTCTTCACAAAATGCCTAGCGGTGGTAATGGCACACCTCTGAAGACAGAGCATGCACATCTACCCTTACATGGAAGATAGACTGATCAGAGCAGGAGGCAGCAGTGAGTCTAAGATATGCAAAGTCTCTGTTTGCCTGACTGGGCCACCTTCAGCTATGAAAATATCACCTCTTTTACCATCATAGAAGATAGGAGCTATGATTGATTTCAGATCAGAGAGCACAAACCTGTCTGGGGACAAGTTTATGTCACTGCAGTCACTACTACTCAAGACAAAATCAAACCTGTCTATAACAGTACAAACTTGGCTAGGAGTATTAGATGATACATTGATGTGCATGCACATGACACTGCTTGCCAGACTTCATATGTGGCCCCTAAAACTCTGGCCTAGATCAGTCTACTTTCCGCCCTGTCACCAGATGGACAGGAAAGTCTTGGTGTCACCTCACATCCTTGCAGAACTGTAATGGTGGTTAGAGATTGTATAAGGAGGCATATGATTCTCAGCCTCCACTCTGACAAGGACTTTAATTGTGGATGTGTTAGGGACAGCGGGGGTGAGAAATGCCTGGACCACCTATAAGCACAAGGGGCCTGGTCCACAGAAGACAACCTAGGACTTCACATAAATGTCTTGGAACTCAGAGACAAAAGAGTGAGTGGACTCCAAGCACTTACAGCTGACCCTCCCTACATGATATTTCATAGGTACCTCACCCGAAGTTCCCTCCCAAGGTAGTCTGAGTTCAGTTTGAGTTAATCAGTTAACCTG